AGTGGCTTAAACTCATGCCGGGCCCGTGTGCATCCGTGCCCAAGATCCCAAGAGGAGAATGGAGGAGAAGGGATTGTGGCGTGGCCATTCCCCCTGGAGGGTGATTTCTCTCTTTCTATCTCTCTGTCTACGTCTTTCTGGCAAGCGCATGCACCCTATAGCAAAAATCTCTCAAAACAAAACAAAACAAAACAAACAAAAAAACTTCCACGTGTAAAAGTACATGTTTCCATACATTTTTGTACATACATGAATAATCAATTCTATGATTACTTTTACATAGTTAATGGCTTCTTTTGAAAATCTCTTTAATTTCATGAAGACTGTGGAAATAGCAGAAGAGAAATCTCTCAAGAAAGTTCTACCTCTGAACAGTCGCTGATGTTGGGTAATGAACCCGTTTTAGATTGTTGAACATGAATTTGATTCCCAGGGTGGCATGTTTCTCATCTGGAATGGAGTCCTAGAGCAGTGGTTCTCAGCTGGGAGTAATTTTGCCCTATAAGATAAATGTCTTCATTAGTCGAGGACATTTTTGAATTTTACAACTGATAGAGGCGGCACCACTGATACCTGGTGTGTGAAGGCAAAGGGGTGGTCCAGTGCTAACATGGGAAGCCATGTGAGGCCATCCCACACGAGGAGTTTGCTGGTTCAAGTCCAGAGACCTCTGAGTACACAAGCCACACACTTTCCAGGAAGCCGGGACTGGGCAAAGACTGGGGGACCCTGTGAGGAGGCTGTGTCTCTCCTTGTCTCTGTCTGTCTCTCCTGCTCATGGAAGAAATAAATAAACTTGGAAAGAATTATCTAGCCCCAAATGTCAACTAGGCAAGGCTGAGAAATCTTTACCTATAGATAGCTTTCTGTTTTACCTGCTTTTGTTTATTGCAATTTATATGTTCAATATACGGAGTCCTTTTTTCCTATAGTTTGCCAGTCTTTTTCTTTTTCTATTCTTTTTTTTTTTTTTGAGAGGTTTTTGCTATAGGGTGCGTGCGCTTGCCAAACAGACAGAGAGAGACAGAGAGACAGAAAGCAAGAAGTCACCCCCTGGGGGGATGGCCACGCTGCAATACCTTCTCCATTCTCCTCTCGGGATCTTGGGCACACACGCACACGTGCCTGGCGTGAGTTTTAAGCCACCGGGTCCAGGACTCGAACCACGGTCGACTACATGGGAGTCCAGCGACATAGCCATTACACTAACTGCTGGTCCCCCAGTCTTTTTCTCGTAATACACTATACTATTATCTCATGTATTTCCCTGTCCCTTGTATTTATTAGCAACAAGATCCAGAAGCATCATCAGATTCAGTCTTTTTTTTTTTCAAAACTGCTTTATTCCACTTCATTGATAGTGCTGTGCACTTCCACCTGAGCCCATAATGCCTGCTTACCTCTCTCTTGCTCATCAGTATGGAAAACTATTAATGAATCTGTTTATCTCCATTCATTCATTAAGGGCTGGAAAGCGGTGCTATCGAGTTTTTATACCTTCACCTCCATTTACTGTAAACATCACGTCCTTTTGGAAATATTTACTACAGCGTTTGACATAAAAATGGCCTTGTGCATAAAACATTTTACCCATTCCATATTTCTTTTCAGAAACATCCTGTACCACCTTGATGAGAAGACAAGCCAGTTTCCAGTACTCGCGGAGGCTTGGGAGCGCTGCAAGCTGCTCTCATCCAATGAGACCCTTCGGGAAGCCTTGTCAGAGGTGCTGAGCAGCATACATTCAGCTGAGGTTTACCTCAGAGCAGGACTCGACGTGTTTGAGAGTGTCTTGGCTGGAAAGAGCTGAGAAAGCTCTCAGCGTTTAAAAAGTTTGTTTACAGTTCCTTAAGCAAAAGCTCTAATCTGACCAGATTTTATGACATTGAGGACTTTTTCTCCCCAATGGCTTTTTGATAAGCCTAAGGCTATTACTACATATTTTTTAATGTACATATACAAAGAGCATTTTGCACATCTAATATTTTCTTATATCTATACTTCTGAATATGTAAAAGCAAGTTATTGAAATAATACTTAAGATTCATCTATTAGAAAGAAATCTGCTGTATTTTTATATATATAAACTATTTCAGGGGAAGAGTTCCACGATGTTCCTGGAGCATCTCCCCCGCTATGGACAGAGCACATGAACAGTTCTTCCTTCTTACAGAGTGTTGATGACCTAGTTCCTGTCGTAGAAATAGTGAGTCGATATGGTTTCACAGTAACTTGGCTATTAAGTGTTCGAGATGAAGAATGCAAGTTTTCGACTGAGTTGATCGGTTCACCAAAACCACTTTGAATGTTTCTATGTTATGAAATGAAGTTCCTCTTCTCAACACAACTAGATACTGTAATACACTGGTTATGAAATTGTATTTTTTAAGTATTAATGAAAAAAAAAAGAGCCATAAACATTCCAGGGAAAAGTCTCAAGATAGCTGCACAGAGCAATTTAAATGCAAATTGTCTCCTAACAACTTATAAGGTGACCAGCTTTGAAACCCCTAATTTGCCTCAGTTGATTTTGAAAGAATTTCAGGAGTGATGTATGTCTTCTGAGGAAGAAAATACTTACTCCTTTTTCTGTTGGGACCACGTGGCTGGCTAGTCTCAAATGAAAGGCTCTCACATTAAATACTTACTCCTTTTTCTGTTGGGACCACGTAGCTGGCTAGTCTCAAATGAAAGCATTCTCACAGTGCTTCCTCTTCTTGCATGTTTTCGGAACCTCTTTGCTGTCGGGCAGTTTTCACAGAATACTATAGAATTGCCACAGGAAAGTAGAAAGTTCCTCTTTGAAAACCTAAAATATCTTAAAAAGCATTGAATGCTGTTTCTGCCACTGAAAAAAAAGAACTTGCTAAGAAGAAAATACTTGTTTTTTACAACCAATAGCTCCTTAATTCTATGAAGAGACTTTTTATTCTTAATTGCAACTCACATAAAAATGTAAAAGATATGTATGCTCCTAATTTTATGCAGTGTTACTATAAAAGTGTATTTCCCCTACACTTGCATTCTTTCATGTATAATAGAAAAAAGTAAGCATTTCATATGAAGTTTTCACTGAATAGCTGTAGAATACTTTGTTCCCCAAATCCTAAAATTATACCAATTAGGTGACAGGTTAAACATTTAAGTTACCTTTAGAAATTAATTTGAAAAAATGTCCTTCTGGTAAAGGAAAAAGAAATTCTCCTTAGGAAATACTTCTCAGAATATTTTATATGAATTCTCTCTACTTAACACTCAGGTACACTTCCCCTATACACGCTGCCAGTGAGCTCATTTCAGACATTCCCTGTTTCACTAAATTGTCACTTTTTTGGATGAGCATAAACCTGATCTTTTGTAAAGAAAAGTTAAAATTGAGAGGAAAGAATTAGTCAGCATTGATTAATTCATTTTAAGGACCAGCTGTTCTGATCATAGGTAGTGCTCAAGGCAAAGTAGGGAGCTGAGACAACTGTCTAGATAATCCCGGCACAAATCCATTTTCACCTGCATTGCCCAAATGCACATATTTCTACATGAAAAATGAAGTTACTTTATACTTTTTTTTTTATCAATGCACTTGTTTGGAGATAGTTGCCCTGTTAAAGAATGTGTACAGGAAAGGGCTGACAGGGTCAGACCCTATATGATTTGACATCAGTGCCTCTCCTGTTCTGCAGAGATCAGTGGGAAAGAGGCAAAAACATAGTCACGCATGGGCCCAAGTCAGAGAAGGCCTTATAACAAAGGATCTTAATTATGTCATCAGAGGTTAATGTGTTCATTCTAGATCTTCTCTTAGGAGTTGAATTTTTTTTTTTTTTTGAGAGGTTTTTCGCTATAGGGCGCGCATGCTCGCCAGACAGACAGAGAGAGAGACATAGAGACAGAATGCGAGAAATCCCCTCCCAGGAGGGATGGTCACGCTGCAATCCCTTCTCCTCCATTCTCCTCTCGGGATCTTGGGCATGCACGCACACGTGCCCGGCGTGAGTTTTAAGCCGCTGGGTCTGGGATGCGAACCACGGTTGACTACGTGGGAGTCCAGTGACATAGCCATTACACTAATTGTTGGTTCCCACTTAGGAGTTGAATTTAAAACCAAGAAAGATAAACTATTATCAGTTTGGCAGTTTATCATTTACAAACTCATAAATAAATTCACTCCTATGATCTACGACAGTGCTGAGAGAAAAATACTGTTTTTCATTTTTGTTTAAAGACTGTGTACCTAGTGAAGCCATATTGCATAAATTAAAAGTCTCCTTCTTCCATATTCTTCACTTTTAAATTATATGGTGTTTGCTATTTGGAAACTGCAGCCTATGAACTAATGGATTTTATTAGTCTATTTAAAGAGATTATGTGAAGAAACTAAAAATAATTCAAACAGATGTCCAGCAGTTCTACAGATGCAGATCTACAACGTTGACTGCAACGAACCCCTCAATGAGCAGCGTCACTGCTATGATATGATTGCCATAGGGCTCCTCCAAATTTACACCACTGTTAGTCTCCCCTTACCCCTGATAGAGCCGAGAAAAGAACATCTTGAGCAAGTTATTAGCAAGCACTGCGTGAACTAGGCGTAGGATTTAAAAGCTCCTCAGACATCTGGGTGCCTGGCCGGCTTCGCAGTCCTTCACGTTTCTGCTTTCTACGCAGTGTGCTCTGCTCTCTCCCTGAAGAAAGAGCATTAGAGAAGATCCTTTCCACTTCTGTGGAAGCAGCCATTGTAGCAGAGGTTGTGTGGGCTGGGAACAAGACTTTTCATTTTAGTTCCGTCTCCAACTAGAGCTGACAAACTGAACTGTCCCAGTGAATCCAGACAAAGGACATGAAGACTTGGCCCTTGGGGGGAAGAGGGAGGACCCCGTATGACATCAGAAGTCAGGAAAGAGGACATTGAACGGAATGTTTTTTGTGAGGACACGGAACTCAGTATTAATGTAAATCAGTGTTTCTCAAATGTAGAATTCAGGGACCTAGGCATCATCGACTCCCGATTTTCAGATGATCCCTACACACATGCAAGTTGGAGATGGAGAACTCTATTGTATGTTGATCCTGAGTCCTGAGAAAACCTGGTTGACAATATGTGTAAAAAAAGAGTCACCATCATGGGGGGGGTGCTAAAGTTTTGCTATTAATGACACTATTACAAAACAAACCCACAAACCTATTTTGTCTCAGAAAAGGATTCAGAAGCAGCTAACACCCGTGTCTGCTACATGTCAGGCTCTGCTCTGGACTTTTCCATGATTTTTGCTTGTTTGTTTTCCCCTAATAGAAACCCTTTAACAACCCATTTTAGAAATGAGAGAACTAGGTTGGGTGACTTGTACACCGTTGCCCAGTCCATAGGAAATGCAGAGGTAGGGCCAGCAGGCAGCACGTAGATTAAGGCACTGGATCCCACAGAGCTGACTGCACGCCATGAGCACCAGATCTGGTGGCTTGAAAATCACGCCGGGCACGTGTGCATGCATGCCCCAAATCCTACAGAGACTGGAGGAGAAAGGACTGCAGCGTGGCCCTCCCTGGGGACGATTCTGTGCTTTCCCTCTGTCTCCTCTGGCCAGCACATGCACCCTAGAGCAAAAGAATCAGCAAGACACCGACGTGGTGAGTTTCCCTGTTCTCTGCTGGGCCCTCTGATAGCCAGCCCTGTGTCCTTCACACTGAGTGCTGCAGAGAACAGCAAGATTCTCTCACTTTGATTCTAGAAGGTAATGTAATGGAAAGTTTTAACAGTCAATATTTCTCCACAATTGAGAAGACTGTATTACTTCACCACTATGACGGAGAAATAAATGACATGATTCCTGATGAGAGTAACCCACCCCGACAACGCTGTACAAAGCAGATCAATTTGAAGATATCTATAGAAGTATTCGCAGTAAGGACACCATTGTAGAATATCATACTAACTAGATCTCCCACAGCCAATGAGGCCAGAATTTGGCCCTGTGGCCTCCTGATGAAGGGAGCCAGATCCCACGTGGCTGAGCACATAGTTGGAATCCCGGCCCTGGTGACCTGGAACAACATGCTGAGCCGTGTGTGTCTAAAATCCCTACAGTGTGGAGACACGGGGGAGAAGGGATTGCAGCATGGCCACACCCCGATGGGGGTGCTTTCTTCCTCTTCGTCTCTCCTTCGAGTGCACACATCCTCTGGCAAGTAGTTTCTAAGAGGAGAGCAGGAGTTCAGGTCTCCCAGCTTCCTCCGGTACAAGCCTGTGTTATTTCAGTGCTGTGCCTTAGAACTGTTTCATGTCGTTTTCGAAAACTCAGAATAAGGCCAGCTCCACGTGTGGCGGTAACGCCCTGCTCAAGAGACACTCGGTCCCACTCGGCCACACACCACAGTTCAGAGTCCTGCGATGGGCAGCCAGAAATGTGCCTGCATGTGTGAGGCAGCCTGAAGTCTAACAGGCTGGAGGCCTGGAGCGGGGACTGTGCATGAGCAGACCCCGGGGGTGGGGGCTCCCTCGCACCCTCTCTCTCTCTCTCTCTCTCTCTCTCTCACGCTCACATGAGCGCACGCTCTCTATCATGACTAAGGAAGAAAAAATGCAGAATAACTGATGGACTTTTTAAATTAAATAAGTATACACCATGCAACAGATTTCCCCACTAGAAAGGCAGGTGTCACAAAAATGAACAATTTGTTTCCATTTTGCTAATGATGATTCAGCATCTTTGCTGCAGATGGAAACCTATAATTATTCGCATGATAAATTGGTAGACCTTGTCAAAAATGTTCTCATGAGGCATTGTGTGGTATGTGTAATTAATTACGCGGTGTTGTCCTCTCATTGGTTTAATAGGCTACTTAAGGGTGCCTTCGCCATACATTTGCTTAATAGAAAGGAGTTATTTAAACTGCCAGTCCATGTTTGAGTGGAAGGGAAATGGGCCCGCATTTTCCAATAAACACATCAGCAATGTAACAGTTTTATCACAGGACCTTGGACGCAGGCCCAGGGAGAAAAAATAAACAAAACAATGTGATATTTGAGGAAAGAAATATTCTGCCCAGCCTTACTAATGGATTTGTCTTTCTTACATAAATTTAAATTATGAATGTTAAAAAGCCTCATTAGAATCTGGTATTCTGAAAGATCTTAAAAAGTTTGACAGACTTCTAAGCACTCCATTAAGTACAATACTGTTTGGTTAGGTGGGTTTGTTTTATGCAATTCAGAATTTTAAGTGAAGAAAAATAGTAAAAGAAGTTTGGAAAGGAATAGTCTTTTCTGAGCATCGCCATGTCCACTGGATTTTCTGTCTGTTTGTTTGTTTGTTTGTTTTTTTCTTGATACACTCTGGAAGTGAGAGTAGGCCACTTTACTTTTTTCTATGAGAAGTAATTTTAATATCTGTCTTGATGCAAATATATCTGCTAATCAGCCAGAGTTTTAGTGCTGCAGTATCTTTGCTTCATCCTTTGAAGATACACATTAAAGTGCCTTTAGCATTCCTGGCTCTGCCAAGGATCTTGAGACCTTGTTTGTTACAAGATAACGTTTTTAAAGACATGCACACTCTCGTATTTAGACTGCATCTGAACTTACAAAGAATTAAACTGAGGCAATTTCAAGTAGAATTCAAGAAAAAGAAGCTGCTTCAAATGTAATGTTTCTGGTTTGATTACTTTATGTTTAAATTATTCACTTAGTGAGTTTTCCACAACCAAGATGGTAATTTTGATGTTTTCAACCAAAGTTCAGTCATCAAGGCCAAAGAAATGCATGGCGTCTCTCTTTCTTGTATTTATTTATTTTTGTAAGAGTCAGTCAAGCGTTAACTCAGAAGTCGTAGATTCAGCGCCTATATCTAGACAAAACTTTAATGAGTGTAGACAGAACCTCACAGTATTTTATCTAATTTCCTTGATGTCTTAAGCCAATAAGCACTGAGCAATCTTTCTCGGAGGGAAACAGATTTTATTTTCCAGGGGCTAATTAATATGGACCACATCCGTCCCCAAAGGACTTCACAGGTGCCTGTCCTATGCCATATGTCATGTGCTATATTCCTGCAAGCTCAAGAGATTAATATACAATCATTATTATGAATTATTATGTTGCATTGAAGTTAATGTCGGTCTTTTGTTCTAATTAAAGTACAAACTTGGTATCTGAATAGAAACTTAGCTAGAGAAGTGAAGTTAGAGTCCCTATTTTAATGAAGTACATATATTTTTCAATCAAACTGTATAATTATTTAATTATCTAGCCTGCTCAGTAATTATAACTCCAACTCCTTTGAAGAACCTTTATTCAATATGTTACCACACAGATGGTCACTAGTTGGCCTGTGTTTTGTTTTCACTTTCACTGTCATTTTGGAATTGTACTGTCAGCGTACATGGTAGTGTTTCTTAATGTCAAAAATAATTTTTGTTTACTTTTATATCAAGCTGCTGAAAATGGACTACCTTATTCTGAAAGTTAGAATAAAAGGCTATTATTCTATGGAGATAATTTTAGCATATCTGTTTGATAAGAAATAAACACACAAATAAAATCATTTACTGTAACATTGCAAGTTGTCGGCAGGAAGCACAATGCCCAGATGGTTAAGTGTACCTCACCTAATTATATTCCTAAGTTGTTATAAATAATTCTATTTAGCAGCTGAGACAGGGCCCTATTAGGTGATTAGAGTTTACATTTCAAACATTTTAGTGACAAATATATCCCACCCATTCTAACTTGCTACAAGGAGTATATGAATAGAATTGTATTGAGAAAAGAAAAACGCTTTCTAGGACACTTCAGAGGGCTAATTTGTTCTCATAGACATGAAGATCAGCCCATCATTTTGATAATAACTGTACATATGCACTTGAAATGTTAATATACACCATGCAGTTCAAATTTTACATATCTGTATAAGATTTTATAATGATTAAAATCTCAGCAGTATACATTAGAAAGTAAAGCCTTAAAATGAAGAATGGAGATAAGCAGATTTATAAGTCAATATGGGGATAGAATATGGGGGATAATTCCTCCAAATAAGTGTGCTTTGATCAAGAAACAATCATGTCTCAAGAGGCATCCCAATTACTAAATTGCACTGAAATGGTTTTAACGTTGAATTTTGTTGAAAATAATTTATAATCTATGATTCAGAAATCTGTACAAAGTTTTCATTGTCTTGTCCGTCTTTAATTTTTAATTGCATTGCTGTAGAGACATGTATCAGCAGTTTCCTAATTGCTGTGTGAGGTTGAATGACTAACTTCTGTAATGTGTGGGCGCTCCAGAGAAACTGACGGCTCTCTATATTTAACCCAAGCTTGATCTGGACTTAGTTTATCATTTTCTTATGTGCTAATTATTTAACTCAGTACATAGCTTACTTAGGAAAGGTTGCTGTGATTTCGAGTGACAGAAAATGGATTAAGATGCCACAGTCATTAAAGATATGAGTGAACATTTTATATTTCAGTTGATTAAATATTTGCACATTATTGAAAATATAGTACCATGAAATGAAGGCATCTTTTAAAAACATGTTCTGATTCATAAATGCAACGTGTATAGATAGTGAAATGGTAATGTTTCAAACCTCCATCTCAAAAATATTAAAGACAGGTGAAAATTATTGCTTTTGTGTTTTCTTATGAGAATATATATATATAGTTCCAGTATGCAAAATGAATTTTTAGTATGTTTTATTAAATATCTTTTTATAATATTACACTCAAATAGTTTTCCTTCTTTTTTTTTAGGGACTATTCTACAGGGTTTCATCATTTTTTTCTTTTTTGCCTTCCATTCTTTTCTTGAATATGCAGTTCTCATACTGGGCCATTGTCCCAAGTTCTAACATCAAGTAACAGCATCTGTCTCAACTGCAGTGATAAAGAGTTTTGTTTACTCAAATTCACCCTAAAAATGTTGTCAATTAAGAATCCGACATAAATGGATCTCTGTTTGCGTGGTGTAGCATATTTGATCATTTATTCATCCGGACACCATATGTTAGTCTTCTCTAACCAGGCATTGTATTAGGTGCTCGGGACACAATAATGATTAGCAGTTTTATCTCCTAGGGTTTTACAGTCTAATAGGATACAGCACTTAGTTTTAACTAGCAGCAATACCAGATTCAGAGATACCCGGAAATATTGTAACTTACGGCAGACATTGACAGAACAATGCTAGCATAAAGGTACCATATGCTCAGACCACACAACTACCCCACTGGGCCTTCCTTAAGGCTTCATAAAGCTGAAAAGTGTCCTCAGTCACTAGCCCTGCTGTCCAGTAGCTAGCATGCCCCGGAGCCTACCTCCACGTCAGACTCCAGTTGCCAAGCATTCGTAGAATAGCCAAAGGGGTAGGTATTCTCTTTCTGTCTCATTTGGTAGATGAGAAAACTGTCGATTAGGGAAATTAATAACTTAGGACAGCTATTGTATCACTATACACATACATAGACGAAAATCTACAGGGTTTTATATATTACTTATCATAAAATTTTCTCGCACTGTTTCATAACCAACACAATGACTAGCCCCAATAAGAGCACAAAAAGCGCGTGGTATGCTTATCGCTGTAAGTCTTAGCTCAGAGGCCTTTTTAGATGATAGGAAGGCAGAGACTGTAAATAATTAGATCCCATAAAATTCAAGAACTAATTCTCAGTGGAGGAAACATTTACTTGAATTTCATTTCTTGAGAGAGAAAGAAAAAAGCCAAAGTAAATAAACAGCGACAGAGGCACCCCCGTAGGACCTTCGCACTGCAGCCAGCCTGGGTTGACTCGTCCACGCCCAGCGTACACAGGGTGGCCCTGAGACTTGGCCTGGGACCTTCTCGTAGAGGTCCAGTTGCACGACCACTCACCATCACCTGGCCCTGAGTAATATTTTGTTTTAGGAGTGTCTTGCTATGCTAAGACCCTCCTGCCCCAGCCTTCAGGGTAGTGGCAACTACAGGCACCAGCCATCAGCCCAGTTTGAGAAGGAAATAATTGGGTGAGTCTGGTAGTAAGCTGAGGTCCTTCTGGGGAAAACAGACGATTGTATTCCACAAAACAGGATCAGTAGATGCAAGTCACATAGGCGTGGAAGGACAGGGCACTCCCTCACTTCTCTGCTTCAAAGTTTCTTTCACCTAACCTACAGCTAAGATTATCATCACCATTTAAATTTTTCACATGACAGAAAGAGATGCTTCAAAGTTTCTTTCACCTAACCTACAGCAAAGATTATCATCACCGTTTAAATTTTTGCACATGACAGAAAGAGGCACGGAGAGAAAGTGAGAAATGAATGCCCCAGGGGACCAGGCCACAAGCCCCTCTTCCTTCTCCTCCGGGGATTTGGAGCACATGCACCTGGCGTGATGTTCAGGTTGCCAGGCCTGGGACTTGAACCGTGTAAGATCGTGGGGAAATCCAGTGCCTTAACTGCCTGCTGGCCCAAGATGATTCTTTTTATATTACGGTTTTTGTGGGAAGAGCGACTGTCAGACCGCTGACCGTTTAGTGTAGGTAGCGCTTGGTACTATGGATATTTAAAGTTGTCTACTGAACAGGTAGCGCCTACTGGAGAGACTTCTGTCGTAGGATGGAAGTCAGAATTGTTCCCCTCGTTTCAGCCCAAGACCCGTCTGCTTCGGGATGATAACCACTCGCTTTCATGACCGACTCCCACTGTCTTCTCCTCGGGGCTCACCTCTCCTTCCACTCCTGTTTCTACTCCATCCCACAGAGGGGCCTGAGTTCCCCTGTGCTGAGTTTTCTAGTGTCTCATAACCTCGTGACAACTTTCACGCATCCACGGAACAAGCCCCTATTACACATAGGGGCACTTCCTCCCCTGAGTAAATCTTATGAATTCATTTTGAACTTGGTTTCTGTTAAATGAGTCGAACCTTCTCATGGCACGTGAGTCTGTAACACGGGCTCCTGGCTTTCCTGGGACGTCATGAGTGACTCTGTCAGTTGCTTGAGCCACCATAAATCATGACCACAGGGTTGTCTTGGAAAGTTATTCAGGGTTGGTTTCTCTTTTTCTCAAGAAGAAAAATAATACAGAAGAAAAAGTAAAGGCAAAATAGGTACAAGCCTAGAGAAGAAGGGAAACCCACACTGTATTACTACCTTCGGCTTCAAATCTTGTTCCATTGAAGGCTCTTAGCTAGACCTTGTGGAAAATTTCTTCACTGCACGTTCCTTGGCTTGAACCACCAAGGAGACTGAGAATTTGATCTGTGTACTTAACAGTAAAACCCTAAAGTCTGGGACCAGCAGATGGCATGGTGGGTAAGGATCTGGGCTTCCACATGGTTGACTGCAGTTCAAGTCCCCGACTTGGTGGCTTGAAAATTACATTGGCACATGTGCATGTGTGCCCAACATCCCAAAAGAGAATGGAGGCAAAGGGGTACCTGCATTGCCATATCCCCGGGGGAGGGGGTTTCTCACTTTCCTGCTCACTTTGATTCTCTCTCTCTCTAGCCAACACAGGTACCCTATGGCAAAAACCTTTAAAAAAATGAAAAATGAAAAAAACCCAAAACTTTTTTAAAAATTGCTATTAGAGTCCTTTTCGGCTTGCTTCAAATATGTAGTGATGACTCTCTCTCTCCCTTACTGAGTCCAGCATGGTGCTTCTCCCTTAAACACAGAAATTCCGCCGTGTTTCTGTGGAAAGCAGCCTCCCTCCTTCCTTTTTTTTTTCCAGCCGAACAGTAGCTTTATTAGTGGTGCTGGATTTTTCACATACCTTACAAAAAATGTGGAACGCTTCATGAATTTGCGTGTCATCCTTGCGCAGGGGCCACGCTAATCTCTGTATCGGTCCAATTGTAGTCTATGTGCTGCCGAGGCGAGCACTCCTTCCTTCCTACCTACCTTAGAAGTCTTGCATGTTCAACCTCATTTAGGAAAAAACATAATCAGCCACCACTACAAAACCAATAGCCTTCCTCTCTCTCCATTCCTACGGAGTCCCGGTCTGGTTTGCCTCTCCCTCCTAATTCAGCTTTGCTCGCAGCTGCTGAACACCCCACTGCTCCTTCCTTCCCCTCCCACTCACGCCTCATTCCTTTACAGTAGGGTTTGTGTCCACAGTACCATAGCCAACATATTTTTTAATTGCAGCATAATCTTTAAGCAGGGTGAACTGTAACATATTGTAGACACGAGGATTATTTTAAAATTCACCCTGCCCACGACTGAGCCTTGCACCTGCGCAGGTCTCACATGGAGAGTCAGGCAGGGGTAGGACCACGTGCCTGCAGGCAGCGGCAGGGGAGAGGGGAGGGGAGGAAGAGGGAGAAAGAGACCATAGACTTCCAGCTGGGCCTAGAGCAGGACAGAAGGGCGGGCCAGAACCACCCAGGAACTGGCCACCAAAGGGATCATGGGAACCCGGAACCCTCCTCCCCAAAACTGCGGAAGTGGTGAGGACCCTTTGGAAGTGCTGGTTTCACGGAGTATGCGAGAAGGCGTCCCGAGGGGAATCGAGTGCTTGGCCTCACTTGGGGACTATGGTGGAAAGCGGTAGCTACCCAGATCGCAATGCGCGACTGGCTGGTGTGGGGACAACAGTCCCAGAAGTGGGAAGACGGGCAGCAGCTGGAGTGGGAGGTGGCTTTCGTCCCCGTCGCCTTGGTAGTTACCGGGTCTGCGTGCCGATTGACTGAAGAAAGTTGCCAAAGATGGAAAAAGACGACAGAATGAGAAACGGACAAAGCACCTGAAAGCCACAATGCCGTTGAAGAAGCGACAGAATTTATGCAGAACCTCGTGCTGTCCAGCGGATTCGTGAGAGGCTTTTTGCTAGGCCTTGGGTCTTAGAGACACGAACATTCTACCGTCGTGGACGCCACTGAGAGAAGGCGGGGTGGCAAGGTGGTCTCTCAGCAGTACTGTCCCCGGTCACCAGGGCCAGGAACCAACGAGCTGGACAACACTGACCTTCCGACCTTGCACCTGCCTCCTGCAGCTGCGCATCTGCTGTAGGGTGCCCCGCGGTCTGTGAGCAGGAGCGTCCTGGGTGAGAACATGGCTTTCCTCCTGTTCGGGTATTTCCATCTGCTTAGAACTTAACCTATAAATATCACCATCGGATACAGATACACAAAGAAATTGTTGGATATGTAATATTGAAATATGATCTCTTTTTATTTAAATAAAATGTTCTTCATTGAGCTTTAGAATTTAGTGCCAATAATTAAAAATTTGTTATAGCTTCCATATTATGGATGACTTTTTCTGTTAAAGGTATGTTTGCAGTAAACTGAAGGACTCTAAACACTGAAGAACTCTAGAAAATTATTTTGTCCTGTAATTCTTTCACCCATTAATTACTTTTTATTATCATTTTAATTGACATAATAACTACACACATTTATAGGTGCAGTGTGGTTTTTTAATAAATGTATCCATTGTGCAATGGATAAATCAGAGACATAAATATATTCATTTTCTAAAACATGTGTCAATAGTTTTTGTTTTGAACATTTGAAATCTCCATCTTCCAGCCATTTTGAAAAATACGTTGAGTTGTCACCAACTATGGTAGTGTATATTTTATATGTCATAGCACTTACCGGCTTCGCTCAAGCTCTTCCCATTCCTCCACCCACCTCTTCTTCCCAGCTTTCATACCCAACTGTCACTCTCTCCCCGCATAAGCACATCCCTTCGCTTCCGCTAATGGTGAGACATACAGTTATTCCCCGTAGCATCATTTTCTCCAGGGCCATCCATGTTGCTGCCCATGGCAGTATTTCACTCTCTCTGTGTCTGATATGCAGCCAGTCCTTGCTCGTGGCCTACCTGCTTAATAATCACTCAGGCTTACGACCAGTTCTCCAGGGAATTCTGTGTGATTCTTGGAAAACTCCTTTCTTGGTCTTTGTCTCTTTCTGAAGGTTTGTATTCACTGCATGAAGCATTCACAATTACACAATTCTATTTATTTTGTTCATAAATTGATATTTTGTGTATCCATAGTAGTATTCAGAATAAATAGAAGTGATTACACTGCATTTATATAGACTACATTGTGTTGTGTGTCTTGTCCCTTCCTGATGCTTATCTAATGTACACTCTTTGTATGCGTAGAATTACATTAGTGTGTTCTGCATGATATAGATTGAAAAAATGCATACCCTATGTCCCCACAACACACAAGGCAGCCACCTTTAAGTTTCCCATTTATTGACCAATTCGCTCAGTGACCTGTCACATGACCAAGATGCATTTGTTGAGTGGGGAGTGCTTTCATTGCGTTGTGTATGTGCCACCTTCTCTCTGGCCACTCACCAGTTGGGCTCGGAGGCTGACTCCATACACTAGCTGCTGAGTAGCATGGTAATAAATATGGCAGCTCACGTCTCTCTTTTATTTCCATCAAGTACGTGCTCAGACTCATTAACTCTCAAAATGTTCTCTGCAGCCCTTCATATGATGGCCTGTCTCCATTTCTCGTTTTCTGTTCTGTAGCTCAGTGGCCTTCTGTCACGGTGACGAACTTTCCCAGCACCCTCCTGTCGCGGGGTTTCGCACGTACTATTTCCCTTGTGGGGGATGCTCTTGTCTTCTCTAGGTGTTCTCTAGATGGAAGTTAAATTTTCACCTTTTCATAAAATTGTGCCAAGAAGTATCAAATACCCTGTTACTTCTTCCCATAGCAACATGTACTTTTCCATCAGAAATATTTTTGTTGTTTGGATTGTATGTGTGTGCATGTGTGTGTTCACACGTGTGTGCATTATTGATTCCTTTACTAGAACATAGGTTTCAAGAGTATGGCTTTAATTTCTTATTAACTCCCATTTTATCCCAATTGCCTCATGTATCTAGCACAAATAGGCATCTCATAAATACTTATTTAAAAGAATAATGTGTAAAAGAAGCTTCACCAAACAGGCTGGGGGTGGGGGCTTACTGTTTCTACCTAGAGAAGGGAAGAGAAAGAAGCACCTCTATGTGCTTGAACAGTTCATTCTGAAGAAAGCCTTATCCCGCATTGCCAGGGAAGTGACAATTAACTAGATATTAAAGTACTGCTCTTTTCAGGGGAGACATGATGCGAAGTTAAGGGTAAGACAGAGGAGAGTCTATATTTCTTTCTAATCTTACTAGTATTGTTTCCATTCTTAGAGGTAGATGT